CCAGCCTGAATCACACAACGTCGGTAAGACGACGCCCTGTGTACTTATGTCCACATTATCTAAACAGTATCATGAAATAACACCTCCAGTAATTCATCTGATAAATACCAGTAAAACGCCTTTTGGGCGAAGAACGAGCGAGCGAGATAGTGAGCCCTGCACGTGCGGAAGGGCGAGAGGGTACAGCCCTCTGCAGACTGCGTGGTAGGTATTCTTTTTTCGACAAAACCGATAATAACTCAAAGGTTATGTTATCAGTCGGTCGGAACTCACTGCAAATAGATGCGCCATGCTCCACTCCTTCGATTAGGTTTATCAATAAACAAAGCTTACGCCTTGTGTGGCGACAAAATGCAAAAGTTTGTTTTGGGGGCAAATATAAACTTTTGGGTTTAATTTCCGAACTAGATGAAAAATGGATACGGTGATGATGCCAATCTAAGGGGCGGGGTCTAGCGCGTCTTGCTGTTACGATTTCCGAATGACCGATAGCATAGTATTCGCGTTATTCTCATTTTTGTCGAAAAAAGAATACCTACCACGCAGTTTGCAGAGGGCTGTACTTCCAACGGGCTTGTGCAAAGCACCCTTCTAACCGGTCGCTAGCGGTGTGCCAAATTTGAACGCAATCGGCCCAGCCGTTCCTGAGATCTGGAAGCGGCATTCTGCACGTGCGCACGTGCAAACGGGGTCCAAAATGACTTTTGCACGGCACCCTACTAACCGGTCCCCAACCGTGTACCAAATTTGAGCGCAATCGGTCCAGCCGTTCTCGAGATCTGGAAACGCCCCCTGCACGTGCGCACGTGCAGTAGCACCCTAACCGCAACACATGGGAATTCATTGCCTGGTGGGTGCCTACCTGTATGCCAAGTTTCAGCGAAATCGCCCCAGTAATTACCGAGTTACTGAAATGGGAACAAATTTGGCACCTCTTCTTTTTGTATTTTGCACGTGCAGTGGGGGTCACTCACATAGATCAAGAGTATCCGACCTTTGGTAGAAGGGATGCAGCTACCCTATAAAAATTACCGCAAGACAATCGCCCAAGCCGTTGCTGAGATATGGGCCTCTCAAAATCATTACTTTTGCAAAGCTGCTTGAACACCCTTGACTTTTCACGTGGCACGTGCCACGACGGTCACTGAGATGTATCAAAAATAGTCAATTACGGGGTAGAAGGGATGGGGCTACCCAGCAAAAAAGACCGCAGGCCAATCGGTCCAGCGGTTGCTGAGATATAAGCCTTTCAAAAGCGTTACAGGCCGGGCCGGGCCGGGCCGCTCATACTGAGATTTTTCCGTTATATTGAAAAGACTTCGCTTCGCTCGCTGCGCTCGCTCGCTCGTAATCAACCTGCCACCATCCCCTGCCGCTGCTCCGGGACCCGACGGGGAGCCTACCGCACCGAAACCGGCCACTCCTGAGCGATATACCGTTCAGCCCCGCTCGTGTCTTGTCCCGCGAATACTGACACCCGTCCCCAGGTACCCCCTCCGTGTCAGGAGGGGGGGGGGTAACGGCACCGTTAGTCGTCGGCTGACCGCCTTTCCCACGCGTGGGAGCGCCATGGGAATTCGCCTGGGAGTGGCACTGCTCGTCGCCGCGACGGAACACATCAGCACTGGCAGACCACCGGGCGCCGCCCGAAGATCATACCGGAACGCGAGCACGATTGACGGATGTAGACGAAAGTGTAGTACAAAAGCAGCATGCAGCACTGCTGCAGACATAAACGTAAAATAAATATGATCAGGAAAATATTTAACCACTCATGACATAATTCAATTCAACTCAATTCTATTTAGCAGCATGTTTCAGTAATCTCCAGCAAATTATATCACCTCTGCTAAAGACAGTCCCTGCTGAGGGCATAATACAATTTCGTACTAAGCCACCCGTTAAAACAGTACGACAAGGCAGCTGTTGTTTGGTTGTCTTTAACAGCTGGACAGCTCGCTCGACAATGCGGCAGCAGGACTAGCAGCATGTCACTGCATTTAAACGAGCTCACTAGAGCGCTAAACGGAGCAAAAAACAGCATTCACAAGCGGAACGGCTAACCGGCGTCGGTTCAGCGGGGGCGTGCTTTTTCCAGTGGCTCAACTCTCTTGGATTTCGAAGTTCCGATAAGCTGCTGAGTCAGAATCATAATTTCGTTCCTCGATCTCGGGGGAAATAAAACGTTGCGATTTATGTCTGGCGGATAAGCGCTCGGGTAGATTTAGTGGGCCAAGTTTGAGATGAAAACACGACTGACAGGGCTCCGGAGTTCTATCGCAGAGAAGCACGCACAGCAGCACGCAACAGGTCATGTGTGTAAATTCTCCGCATCGCTCAAAACCACGCCTCTACACGCGGCCAGCTAAGGTTTAGAGGAGACTGACTGTTTTGACCCCGAATAATCTCTGCCAGCAGCGGTTGAGTGCTTCAGTAACTTTGCCTGGGCCGCCTGTTTCGAAACTAAAACAAAAGTTTAAAATGAAGCTGAATAGCAAGTAGGTAGGCCAAAAACAAACACGGTAAAAACGCGGTGATAAAAAAACAGTCAAAACAAAAGTAAAATGTTATGTTCCTGAAGACCATGTTCATTGTCTCCCTTCCCTTTTGCTTGTCTGCCAGTTTAACAAGCACAACGCTATATGTCTGGGAGAGCCATTCGTCCGCTTTACCGCCGCTCTGAGAAAGCAGTCGGCAAGCGGTGGCATCCTCACATCCGACCCACGGGCCTTGGGCTGACGAAAATAGCTTCAGGCAGTGCCCGGTCGCGGGGCGGGGAGCACGCGGGCGAGAAGACCACAGGGGTGGGCGATAGCAGTAGCGGCGGAACACCTCCAGTTACGGGGGGGGGGGCACTGCCGACTTTTGGTCCCATTCTTTCCATGCAACGCCCATAGGGCTAATGTTAAAATGCCAAAATCAAAGGGGGGCACGGTGCCCCGGTGCCACCCCCGTTCCGCCGCCTATGGGCGATAGCATACAAAATATGGGTGATCATAATCAGTGTATAAACAAAATCACATTCGATGTTTAAGGGGACGTAGGGGGATGGGAGTCATTGATAGTTTTAGATGATTGATAAGGGAGCCATTCAATCGCCCATTGGAGGTAAGGCAGCCCGCGGGCTGTCAGAGTACTCAATGAGTGAACGCTGCATAATGACGAGCAGCTGGCTGGAAAGCCAAAAATAATCGGTGGGATTCTCACCGTCACACGGGGTTCACGTTTACTGACTCTGACACCGCTTGGAGTCGCAGTGCTCTTGGAGAGTAATTCGAATGGCGGGGGAATCTGCACCAAGCGTAACGGCTCAACCATGCAGCGGCACTAGTAAACTTCCGCATAGCTGTGAAAAACCGCCGGAACGGTGCAGTAACATAGGTGTTATCCGAAACGCTGATGTGGCTGCAGCGTTGTCGATATAACGGACTGCACAGTGCACAGTTTCGCTCAGTCAACCGATAGCAACTACCAAGTATAGGTAAGCCAGTCACCTGCAAAATACTGACGCTGGGTGAAGAAAACAGGAAGCAGAGTGCAATGTGCCTACGTCGAACTGAAGTTTTTGATAAGCTGATAGCAAACATGTTGATTGCTGATTAATCGAGAGGCAAATGCAGCAAAGGATCATGCTTAGCGCTATACTCTCCGTTTGATTACAAAAAAGAGCCCACGGTAGCGCGCAGCGCCCCGCAATAAAAGAGTTAAAAGAGGCGTTCGTTCAGTCATTTTACCTTCTACTACAAATAACCCTTTCTGATCATCCAACGAGGCCATTGCCAGCCAGTTCATCAAAAGAACACGAACACACTACCTATAAGAAACCGTCACCATTACGCTCCCCGATAGCGCTCCGGGTCAGTGTTCTGATAGCGCAGCGCCTCAGAGGTGATACTGCAGCACTGCCGACCCGAGCCAGGGCGTCGACGGCGACCTGCGTGCCGCCCCCGGCCCCGGGCAGATAAGACTCCTGCCAAATCATCATCGCACCCGCCGAGAGACGGCTAAATTTAGCCGCGGAAACATGAAGTGAGAGATGATGGAGAACCGGGTGACGGCTTGTTTAAAAAGAAACAGAGGTTCCAAAGCTTAAATGTTAATTTCTGAGTGTAATGCATAGTTACAAGCATCAGTGACATCGCCTATTCGGTTCAAGAAGGAACTAACGAAGAGTTCATATAGAGAGGGTCTTGTCCTTTCAAAACATCGAATAAAGGGGAGGAGCGGTCGCATGGCGCCATCAACAACTGAATCCGCAGGCAGCTTTTAAAAATCCGCATTTAGCCATCGATTAAGTTCGTGAGATGAGATGTCATCTAGCAACTGAAAACTTGCAGAAACGCTAGCCGCAAGAATTTCCAATACAAGTTCAAGACGGGGGCAAGTTTATCGTCAATCTTAAGTAATCTCGTCAGATACGCAGCGCAGCACGAACGCACACGGCACCCCGCTGCCGCCCACGACGGGCAGACTTGATATACCCCTCCCCCCCCCCTAACTCCCCAAGCGGTGGTATGTACCGGCTCAGATCAGCGACGAGATAGCAGCATTAGGTCGGTCTGCCCACACAAAACGCATATACGGTAGGCATTCTGCTGATCCTGAATGACCTTTGATACGCGTCAAATGTGCAGCCGGAACTGCAACTGACTTCACCTATATGAAAACTGTCTTTTGCAATAGAATTTCACAGTCGTAAAGCGAGCTTCAGAACTTCCTACTAGAGCATCAAGATGCATGGCTATGGGAGATTTCAATGATTCGAAGTAGTGATGAAGTCTATGAATAAGAACAAAACAGCATTTAAATTTGTTAAATGAGTGCACATTTCCCCAGTAGCATTCAACAAACACAGCAAGGAGTATCATTTTTTTAGGAGTAGTAGTAGTAGTTTTTTTTAGAGTAGGAGGAGTAATTAGGAGTATCAGCTAATTAAATGACAGCTAAGTAAATGACCTAGCAGCATCCAATCAGTGATGAGGGGCGGGTTCGAAACTCACCAGCTTCTCGTTTTCGTCCTCCATCTCGAGCCGTGCGGCGATGCAGTTCCGCGTGTCGAGGAACACCCGCCGCTGCGCCTGCTCCATAAGGTTGTGCATGAACAGGCCCATCAGGTTGACACAGGCAAACACCAAGATGTTGGCCGTCACCTGCAGATCAGAGGGGTTGGTCAGGTCGTAAAGATCAGGTCAGATCATACGAATAAGATCAAGTCACAGGTCAGGTCAGATCCCGCGAGTCAGGTCAGATCACTCCAGTCGGGTCCGATCTCTCAGGTCAGGTCAGATCACAGGGATTAGATTAGGTGCGAATGATCGAGTCAGGTCACACAGATCAGGTCAGATCACGGCAAGTCACACGGGCTCTATAGAAGGCCGCTGATGGCACTCGAACGTATCGGACTGGGCTCCGCTTCTCCAGCATATGCGTCAGGTCACGTGATCACACTTATAAGAGGTCGACCCGTAGACCATTGCGAGAATCGGTCAGACGTGGTGGACTGGTCATGCCAGGTCAGGTCACGCTTAATTCAGATGTCAGGTAAAGAAGCATTTTGTGAGGATAGCCCGGAAGTATGCGGCGGGTCCCATGATAGCTTATCTGCAAGGACAAACTCTGACCCGTCAGCAGTTGAACTATGCCAGATAGCGCACCAGAACCGACAAATCATCAGTTCCGCGGTCAAATCAGCGTTCAGATTACACCCATATCAGCGCAGCGCCAGACCAGCACGGCACCGACACGTCAGCGGCTGCTGATCAGCTCAGCAGTCGTTCTGACGGTTCAGCGTCTGAGGTGTTCCACTGTTTCCGCTGCACACCTGCTCGGGGACAAAGACGGGCCAGTGCCAGCTGTGCCGCGGTGCTGTGCAGTGTCAGACACCCCCCCCCCCCCAGCTACGGCTACCCCTCCCCCTGCACCCCTGGTGCAGCTGGGAGCGTCACTTGGGCCGGCGGGTTACTCGACCGACCGACAGACGAGACAGACAGATAGACAGGGTCGGGCCGCGTCTCACGGCGTCAGCGCTAGATGGGTTTGGAATTCATGACGCAAATGTGGTGAGACAGGATGTTGTACAAGGATTTTACACGCTGTCGCCCATGATCACGTCGCGGGAGCATCACTTCGCAAGAGCTCGAAAATCGATTTCCGTAGCAATACCTTCGAGCAACATGTTAATTACGCCCTAAGGCCAGTAAAAAAAGGTTCGGATGCATGCACCAATGTTTAAAACGATGTGTTTTCTTCGCTGTTTTCAATAAATCACACATCAACAGAAAATCATATCCCCAGCTCACCATTATACAGAAAAGAGAACCATCCGTGTAGCGCACAGTGCCGGTGCCGCCTGGCATCTATATTACAAACAAAGAACGCAGTCGGGGATCACCGAGGCTCCTTCGGCGCCAATTACGGCGCCGGCGGGTGTTGTCGAGACGCATCTACCGCGCCGTTGCCACAGCGACATGATCGCGCGCCGATCCGGTACCGCTGGACGATCGATGGGGTTCGGTTGACCAGCTCGGCAAGTGTGTGACACAAAGATTCTCTGCTGGACACTGCATCAGGTGTCATCTACTGTCCCCAGCTACATCAGCTGCCGTCACCGGAGCACATCAGCCACTGTCACAAAGCACATCAGTCATCATCGCCAAAACACAACAGCCACTGTCCACTGTCTCCAGAACAGATGAGTTGTTCCCAGAGCACATCAGTTGCATCTATAACTACCAGCTGTCTCCAGAACACATCAGCCACCATCACCAGGACACATCAGTTGTCTCCAGAGTCCAGAACAACCTCAGCCACCGTCACAGAACATATCAGTCTGCAGTCACCGGCACCAGAGCACGTCAGTTGTTTCCGGAACATATCAGCAATTGATCTCAGAAATCAGAATACAGCCGTGGAAAATACGTAGGCTGTGCCTTTAAAACATCAGCAACAGTCCCAGAACACACAGTTGTCCCGACAGCTACACCAGCCCATGTCCCTTACATACATACTAGAGATGCCACAAATTTGCAATTTCATTACCCGCCCCGCCCCGCAGCTACCCCTTGCCCAACCACAACTACCCGCAAGCTGATTTTGGCTGAGCCAAACCCGCAAAAAACCCGCAATTTCAAAAACCTGCTTTTGGAAGAAAAAAATACAACTGGGTCAATGCTAGAGCTATATAAACCTTACTTGCTTCATTGCTGTGCAGAAAAACAGCCAATCAAATAGTAAGGACTTGAAATTGCTATGCTAAGTCCTCAGGAAGTGGGGGAAGGAGGGTGAATTGCGCCACCTTAAGGAAAAACGCTAATTGTAAGAAAACCGCTGGAGACATAAGCATGCATTGGTGACCATTTCAAAGAGGAACTCATTGGCTACGATTTAAGAGCCTCCCGATCAATTAAGAATGTTTCGTTTGCTTCTGACAGCTGCTTTTTCAGAAACATGTAAAAGGGCGCATTTGCCAACAACTGCTGTAAATTGCGCCAGGGGGATGGCGCAATTAGAACCCAATTGCGCCCTATACTTTAACAAGGCTAAGCGAATGAGACGGAATGCGTACATCCCGGCAGTCTAATGTCATTGCGGCTTACTTTAACATTCATAATGTTATTCACGCTGGTTAAATAATAAATGTAGGTGTAAATCGCGATGTTTTTTGCCCAGGTAGATAACTTTACATGTGTTCATACGCTTGTAAAAGTGCAACGAAAACGTTTACTGCACTGGCGGTCGCAGCCGCTAGCAAAAGGGGGGGGCCAAACTCACACTCGCGGGACATAACATTTATCCGTCACCGGAGGGTGATCGGCTCATTTTTTATGCCCGCGAGGCGCCGCGCAGTTGGCCATACTTATGCTTCATTCATCTCGTTCTTGCGTGGAATCTTTAAGCTCAATTTAAGGCAAAATCACCAGTACCTACCATTTCTCGTCCCACGGTGTTTCCACCGGTCGGGCCACTGCACCATGGCGACGGATCGGTGTAGCATTTACTGGAAGGTCGGGCACGCGGATTCATGACCTTACCTTACCAGTATAAAACAATTCGGAAAAGTACAGATACCTACCTCTTGCTTTGAACAAGCATGTGAAACCCAGAGAGCATTTTCAGACTATGACATTTACCCATATACGAGTAGTTGTGTGGCGGCGGGAGAGAGAAGCTAGGTACACCGACCTCTGGTGACCAAAGGTTCCTGGCTTTCAAAATTGGCATCTGAGGGCCGCGCGCGACTCCTGTGGGCTTCGCAACGGCTCTATTGGGGCTCACTCAAATGCCTAGTCTTCATGCTAAGAAGACTGGCCCTGAGCCCTGAGGACTTCATCAGTCTCTGCCAGCCCCAGGACCCACAACGGCTCATGGGGTCCTGACGTCGAAATATGAGGGAATCTACGCGGGACCATCAGGACGTAAAGTGATCTCGATCAAGACCAACGTAAGGCTGTGCAGGAGTCTGCGTAAGCCCTCTGAGCTTCAGAAGCCCATGCATATGTATGTTTTCACTTAGAGGCCAGTTTAAGGCCCTCAGAGACCAATACAGGGCCTGCAAACTGCAAAGGCCAGTAGTTTGAGACCATCAGATACCGAGTTGGGCTCTCAGAGGCTAATGTGGGTCCTTACTCATTACAGGCCAACATGGGGCCCTCAGAGGTCAGCGTGGGGCTCTAAAAGACCGGCATGAGCCGTCGTTGGACCCCAGAGGCTAGCAGAGGGCCCTCAAAGGCCAAGATGGGCCTTCCTCAGAGGCCAATGCAGGCCCTTAGAGGCCGGCATCAGGTCTTTAGCAGCCAGTGCGGGGCCTCATTGGCACCTAAAGGTTCGTCTTGGGACGCCAGAGACAGAAATAAGGCCACCAGAGACCGGTGTGAGACGCTCAGACGCCGGTTGGGGCCCCTGAGGACGGTTAGGGGCCATCATAGGCCAGATGTGGGGCTTCAGGTCGATGTGGGCTCTAAGCGGCCAACATGGGCGCTTGACCGCCACTGAAGTTCCCTCAGAGGTCAGTGTAGGACACTCAAAGACCGGTGTGGGAGCTATATTGATAGCTGGGAGTGTTTTTTTTAGGCCTCGTGACGATCGAATAAGGGCCAGGGCCCCATACACCTATGGGGGCCCATCGGTTGTTTGAGGGGGGCAAATGATATGATAGCCCCCTTTATTGGCCTTTGGGGGCATGGCCCTGATGTCCCCCCCCCCCGCGACCGCCACTGTGTACACATTACACACAGGCCTCTGAGATTGCATACCTACTAGCTCATGCAAACTCTATGCAGGCCCTGGAGGTCCCACGCTAATCCTTAAGAAACCAAGCCAGCATACGGCGTCACCACCGGGCTTCTGAGGTGCACAGCATCAACCCATGAGGTCTTACTTTAGCATGTCGAAGAGCCACGCTCATTTGGCAGGGCCCACCCGGCACTGCCGAAGAGGGTCTCATGCCAGCCATTGCTGGGCCTACGAGAGCCTCAAGTAAACCCACGCTGATATTCCATATCAGATCCGGCCATACTCGTGAATCGGTGTCAGCGACGCTGACCGCCAAATTGACAGAATGCGAAACTGAGCCCACTCCATGAGTGAAATTTACGTCCTTTGATGGCGCAAGAAAGAAAATGAAACATACAAAAAGCTTTCTAGGACTTTTGTTCGATCTGAAAGGTGGGGCCAAAAGATAGTATGGCCCCACCTTTCAGCACCAAAGGGGGGGCCATGGCCCCCGTGCCCCCCCCCCCCCCCCCTGGGACCGCCAGTGGTTTACTGTAACCGACTAGATATATGTGAACGTATGCGCCTATACGGTTATATTTCCAATCGTTTCTCTTAAAATTAATAATTTTTATTGTTTCGACAGTTTTATGACATCAGTTTTTGCTTTTTTATCATAGCTGTCACCTCTCACGCCTGAGTCCATGTTGAAAATGTCGTATTTTGTCAATTACACAAGTTCGTAGCCTAAATGGCAGCTGCATTATAAGTTTGACGAGAGAAATAATTTGCGGACTGACGACAGCGGGCTGCTCCCCTGCTTGACATTAAACTCCTTCTTTATTGCAATCAGTTAATGATGCATTCATGCTGTCGTGATATACAATAGCTACACCATTATTCTATTTGCGCCCCCCCTGGCGCAATTGCCATGGGCGCA